CCGACTTTGCAAATTAATGGAGAAACTCGGCGAGTTAAAGGACAACTCGGCAAGTTGGGTCAACTCGGGCCCTTGACTTTGACCTTTGACTTTAGTCTTTGACCAAGTTTGACCTATAAGGGGCTTTTGGGCATTTTAAGTTGTCTTTAAGCAAATCGTTTATGTTTATGGGTTGAGTAGAGCCGATATTTGGAGCCAGGATTTGTTCGGCTATCTTTCAGCCTTCGAGGTGAGTTTCCTCACTAGGTTAGTGGGTCTAAGGAACCAAGGCCGACCTTCGTTTGTTAGGTTATTGTACTTGTTGTCTTCGTGATACTTGTATGTGCTTGTATATGTATATCTGTTGGGCGGGGCCCATTATGTGAGTGTGAGCGGGGCCCGTATCTCATTATTATCCGAGTGTGGGCGGGGCCCATATCTCATCGTTATCCGAGTGTGGGCGAGGCACGTATCTCATTAGGCAGGGCCGGTTATTCGAGTGTGGGTGGAGCTCGTATCTCACCGAGTGTGGGCGGGGCCCGAATCTCATTGTCGCATGATATGTATGGTATGTGGTAGTTTGGAGAACACACTAAGCTTTGTGCTTACTGTTTACAGTTTATGTTTCAGGTACTTCTGGTGGCAAAGGTAAGAGCTTGGGTTGACTGCATCACACACACCATTGAGATTCCACATACGGTGTTTTACTCTGATTTTGTGACATTGATACATTGGTTTCTATTTGAGATATTTAGATGATATTGGAAATACCATTTTATCTATTATTAAAAAAATGGAATTTTTGGGACCATATATTGGAATGTTTCAGTAACATTACCTTGACTAATCATACCAGAGTATGATTACGAGCAACATGACTTATAAGGGGCAAACGACACCCCGAAAAAGTCACAACATTACCTTGAGTAATCATACGAGAGTAAGATTATGAGCAACACGATTTATAACGGGAAAACGAAACCCTGACGAATTTGTTGTTAGGTTTTGTGTACTATAACACTCCTATGGTGCACATACAACCCTAATAGCTTTGGTCTAAGTTTTTCTCTAGTTATACATGCAAACAAATTCCAAAGCATGAAGCCTACAACTAGCATACAATTTTTGTACATGAATCATAAAATCAAGTTAAAACAATACCTCTTTATTGTAGCTTGTAGTTTTGGCCTTTCAAGAGCTTAGCACCTCAAGTGTGATACCTCAAATGGTTCACAAACACCATCAACAAAGGAGAACTTTGAGAGAGAGGCTAGACACTCTAATATTGGTTATGATTCTCTTAGAATACTTAGGTGGGCCGATTTTGGCTAAGGGGTAACATTTATATAGTGTAGGATTCCAAGAGTCATGGGTAAACCCTAATCCATACACTTAGGTTATGATCCATATCTCATGTGGGCTAACTCTTCATGGATACTTACATAAACTTAGCTCATCATGGATCAATAGCCCAAACAATATATATGTCACCGATTTACATAAACAGTCCCTGTTAATTTAATTAGTCTCTTTTGATCACTAAATTAATTCCAAATTAATTCTTGATCAATACTAATTAAATAATATGATTTCACAATTAATATATTATACTTGTAATATATTAATAAATCATAAATAACCTCTTTCTCAAATATCCATCCTATCAAATTTTGTTCTGGTGAAGGCAACCCAAATGGAGCATGCAACTCTCGGGTCAAGTACATACCAATTATAGTTATGGACTTAGACACCTAATCCAAAAATCTCCCACTTGGATCAGTCTAATAACTATTATTGCAAGTACGACTCCAAAATCCCGACACTACAAGAAAAAGACCCTTTTACGACGCGCAAACCACGACACTCATTGATTTATGTTACACAAAAGAGAGTGACATTAAAAAAGTGTCATCTCTTCAAAAAAAATTAAGGATTTAGGTCACGGATTATTGCGTGCCCTTAAATTAGTGTCGTAAGAAAAAAAAATTAAAAACACGGAGGGCGCTTTATGTTAAATGCGCGTCCTCTGTAAGTCTCGCTTTATAATTTTAATGAATGTGCGTTTAGCAGATAGGGGGAAAATGAAATCCCCAAAATTTTGAAAACCCGCATTGTTATTTTCTCCCCTCTCCCTCTTCTCTCGTCTCCGATCCGCTTCTCCGCTACTTGTTAATCTTCTCATCGGATCTCTGCTCGATCTCCTTTTTATCAGTATCATCAAACAGCTTGTTCGTCGCCCCCGCCCTATCTATAACAAACCCCTCTCTCTCTCTCTCTCTCTCTCTCTCTCTCTCTCTCTCTTCCATTACCCACCACAAATGGTTTTTTAAACACAAGTCAGGGAAAACCTAGGTCGATTCTCCAGGTTTCAGCAACAAATTTGTGGACATCCATATACATATTGTGATTTCAAAGTCATCTTATGAAATCAACATTCGCTCAATTTTGATTTGATGCAGGTAATACACTACCAACTACAAGTCTTTCTCTCTCTCTTTCTCTACCCCCTACTGTTCGAAAACCACCCAGGCACCCACCACCCTTCGTCTTCTCTCTGGTTCACCATCGCCACCAATAAATCCCCATTATACCACCACCACGAATCGCATTAATCGAACCGATTCAGGTGAACTATATATGATGTAATGCCTAAGAGAACCGATTTGCATTAATCAATTTCGATCCTTTTCTTTTTCAGTTGAACAGGTTGATTGTTTCTAAATTTCATCTCTTCTATTTCAGTTTTTTCCAAATTAAGGCTCGCCAACTGTATGATGAAATGCCTAAGAGAAAAATTACAACAAAAAGTGTATTTTGATGCCCTTTCAAACACTTGACTTTGTTGGATGACTGATTGATCTTTATAAATATGAAGCCTTGAGGGTTATGGGGGATGGCGAAAGAGGCACACAAGTGAGGAGGGCTGTTGAGGGGTTAATGGTTGTAGGTGTTTTTAATCGTATTTCATACCCTGGTAATCATGATTCTCATACCCTGGTAGTCATAATTTTCTCTCACTTCCCAATTCATATTTATATCTATTTTTTATGTATTTCTTGTCGTTCTCCTCCTTGACCAGGTAATATCATCAATTTGATTTCCCGTATTTTTAGTTGATCAGTTATTATTTGGGATTTGTGATGTTTTTGGAAGCAAAACTGATTATACGTTGGTGGTCGACAGGTTGAGTCAAAGCTGAAGGAGACAACAATGAGGCTTGAACTTTTCCCCACTGGTTGACTTTTAAACTTTGAATTTTTCTACTTATAATCATGTTGTAGGAAAAGAATTCTTGTAAACCCAACATCATAATGTGAAGACATGTATCCCAACTTATAAAGAGTTAGAGGCATTCCAGATAGCTGCATATAGTGGTAAACTCCATGATCTCTCCATATACACCCATGAAGCAAGATGGGTCAAATCATTAGCTGAGCTTAATCTCATGAGACAATCTGCTTCCATAGGTTGCCAGGTATCTCAAAAACTCCCACAATTATTATTATTATTTTATCATTTTTTATTTACCACTAAGATTATTCATTCCCCTTTAAAATATAAATAGGCTCTTTTACAAACTATGCTGCAATCCAAGATATCTCCTTACGAGAATATCTTATCAGCCAAGGTTGAATACGAGTGCAGAATCAGAGGTGCCCAGAGAATGGCATAAGTTTTATTTATTTACTTTTTATAAGTTTATTCACATATACATTTTTTATATTTAGTATTTTTGTCTAACAAATACTAATTAATGTGTTCCCAGGTTTAACCCTGTGGTTGGTGGTGGGCCCAATGGTAGTGTTATTCCTTATTCATGAAACGATCAGAATGTCACAACTCACACATAGTTTTATTTATTACTTATATAATATTATATAATTTTTGTAATTAATTTCATGATGTTTTATGATTTCAGAGAGAAGTGTATGATCTGGTTGTATGTATTCAACTTTGCAAACCTGGTATGATCTGGTTGTATGTATTCAACTTTATTTATAATTACTTGATGTTGTGTAGGTTGAGAAACTTTGTAGAGGATTAAAGGCGACGGGAATTTTGAAAAATGATAGGCTTCAAAGCTATTACAGATAAACCCCTTTTACCTGGAATATTTGAAAGATCTTGAAGAGAATGTGGAAAAGGACTGGAATGGGACGTGGGAGTCTTGCAAGTTCTGCTGTAGTTAATGCTGTTTACAATTTCACTGAATTCGATCAACAGGTGATGAAAATTTTTAAACATATTTCTTTATTTTAAGACTCATTTCACCATTTTTGTGATTACATACATAATGGCAAGTTGGTGACTCGGCAGGACCTGAATGTAAAGTCGTATTACAAGAAGTTACTCAGCAGGACCTGAATGTAAAGCCTTGGTTATCTTTCAAAAAAACATTGAACAACTTCTTTTTTAAGCTTTGAATACGTTAATTTTTATGTTTTTGTCCCAAGTTGTAGTGAAACATGGACAGTGAAAGAAAAATAAAAAACCAATTTATTTCCTTCTACTTTCATTTAGTCGGTCTTTTCATTTGTATCATTTAGTATGTTACTTTTTAATTGGGTTTTTAATTTAATATATAGAATCATAACAAGTGCACTGTCCAATAATTTAGTAGTCATGGGATGATGATGATGCATCAAATTCAAACCCTAAGTTAGATAAGAAAAACAGGTCATGGAATGGTCCTTCATGGGATGATGATCATGAAAAAACAAAGCCATGGAATGGTCCATTGTGGGATGATTCAGGATTAAACAAAAAAGGTTGTGAGAAAAATGATTACTTTTTGCCTAAACAGCATAATGTGGTCAATGATTCTCATATGAACAATGAGAATATAGTTTCTGGAGAAGAACCCAACCAACAAATTATTACATCTGTAAAATATATTAAATGATACACAAATGAAAAGTAACAATTTATAATTGATGTTGATAGGAGAAACAGGGGAAGTAACAACTTCCCATTTGCTTTTGGGGATCTGGGCACAAAAGGAATCAGTTGCTCACAGGATCATGTCTACACTTGGTTTTGATGACGATAAAGCTAAAGAGCTTGCCAAATCTGTAAGTTTAAACCCTCTACAGCAGTGATGGTCATATTGTTTAGGCTGTTTGTAATTCATATTTTTTTACACACATTTTAGATTTGCTACATGCTCCATATGTATGATCATTACGTAGCTGCAACGAGACTGAACTATTTGGCTTCAAGAATGGGCCCATCCTCTTCATCTTCATCATCATCTTCACAATTTCATTTAGGAGTGTTTCCTCAAATTCTGGGCTTTCTTTTCTTCTTCTTATCTATTGGTAAATCTGTACCTTTGTATCCAAAACATACACATAAGCCAAGATAAGATTTTGTTCTAAATGCAATTTTGTATAACTTCGTAGGAGCTTCGGGGACTACTTTTACTTTTATAAATGACTGTGGGTTCACTGTTTGTCCTGGAGTCAATGGTTGGACTGATTCCAATACTGGATTCGAGCTAACAAAGGGTACTGCATGCTCTTTTCAAGCTCCGGTTGGGTGGTCGGGTCGTATCTGGGGTAGGACAAGTTGCAACTTCAATGTATCCAGTTATGGGTCGACTCATATATTTAACTGTATTGATGCCGATTACACCGTCAGATTTTGTCCTTCTTCCGATTCATTTTCAACAATCAAACTTGGCGGAAAACTGATCGAAATCATATGACCGGCTTGTTTCCATCCGTGGAAATTTCACATTAGGGTTTTTCGGTGAAGGTTATAGGTACTTGGGAATTTGGTACACCGAGGATGTTGAATCAAGAAAAATATGGTTAGCGAATCCAAACACGCCAATCATATCCACCTCAGGTGCCAATGCCCTCTCCATTGATGTCAACACTGGAGACTTGATCATCATTGCAGGAGGGCGAACTCTTATGAGCATTACCAATGTTCAAATTAGTCCAAACCCAAATGTGACTGCAAGCCTTGAAGAGAATGGTAATTTTAGGTTGATTGATGAAATTGAGAAAAGGGTTTTGTGGCAGAGTTTTGATCATCCAAGTAATGTACTTTTACCTGGAATGAAACTTGGGTATGACATGACAAAAAGGAAGAACTGGACCTTGACTTCTTGGCTGAGCAATGATATACCTTCTTCAGGAGCTTTTACTATGAGCTGGGAGCCCATTGAAGAAGCATCCCAAAGATTGATGATTCGAAGACGAGGACAACCCTACTGGACTAGTGGTAGTCTAAATAATCAAATATTTCAATATATGTTTTCATTGAATGGCCCAAGTAGCCAATCTAGATATAATCACTCTTTTGTATACACCAACGAAGCACGATACTTTAGCTATGAGGCCAATAATATCGCTGCTTTACCCATGTGGATTTTAACAGCAAAAGGACAAGTTACAGATATTGATAATTCTACTGTTTGGACACCTGAGTACTGTTATGGGTATGATTCTGGTAATGGTTGTGTGGAGTCGAGTTTGCCTCAGTGTAGAAGAGATAGTGATAAGTTTAGTGAAATGAAAGGAGATTTTGCACATGATTTGACAAGAAGTGTTATTGATGACAACTCAAGTTTAAGTATTAGCGATTGTTTTGTTAAGTGTTGGAATGATTGCACTTGTGTGGGGTTTAATAGTAGTAGCATCAATGGAACTGGCTGTGTTATATGGACTGGAAGTAATAACTTTTTAGTTAATACTCGTGATAACTCTACTTTAAAGTATGTGATCAACCAAAATCCAATCAATCCAAGTACAGGTAATAATGTTAATTTCCAATGATTTTAGCTACCTTCTGATCATTTTAGAATCTAAACAAGTCAATATGCAGGTACCAAAACAGAAAAGAGCAAGAATTGGGAATGGATACTCATTGGCGCTGTCATTCCTCTCTTTTTCCTATGTTTTGGCATTTTATGGTATATAAAGAAGAGAAAGCATAAACGAAAAGGTATATAATTAGAAATGATGATAATTCTAGCTTCTGTTTGTACGATATAGTTGCCTATTTTGTTAAGTCATTAATACTGATCGTAGAATATGAGATATGGAAGAGAGATGAGTATTTCTTGGAGTTGACAGCTTCTGAAAGCTTCAAGGATATACATCAGCTTGAAAACAATGGTGGGAAAGGAAATGACTTGTTATTATTCAGCATTGCCTCTATCATGGCTGCCACTGATGATTTCTCCATTGAGAATAAGCTCAGACAAGGTGGTTTTGGACCTGTTTACAAGGTTATGTTACTTTAATCTAATTTGATGCATGTTTTATGTTTTTGCATTTGTACCTCTAATCTGACAAAAAGAGATATCATGAAATTATAAAAAACAGGGAAGACTAAGTGATGGACGAGAAATTGCAATCAAAAGGCTTTCAAGAACATCAGGGCAAGGGCTCATCGAATTCAAGAATGAACTAGTACTTATTGCTAAACTCCAGCATACAAATCTTGTTCAAGTTCTTGGTCGTTGCATTCATGGTGAAGAAAAGATGTTAATATACGAATATATGCCCAAATAAAGCTTAGATTTCTTCTTCTTTGGTATGAATTGTTTGTAACATAAATGTATACAATGGTTTTACTTGTGATATTCATAAAAGACTATTTTCTTTCGATGTCTTGCAGATGAAAATAGAAAGACAGAGTTGGATTGGTGTAAACGATTCAACATAATTGAAGGAATTGCTCAAGGGTTGTTATACCTGCATAAGTACTCACGGATGAGAGTTATTCATCGAGATGTAAAAGCTAGCAACATTCTTTTAGATGAGAGTATGAACCCGAAGATTTCTGATTTTGGTATGGGAAGAATATTCAAGCAGAATGAGACCGAGGCAATCACTAACAGGGTGGTTGGAACATAGTAAGCTGTCTTAGTTACAAAGTTACAATATCAAAATTACAATTGAGTTATATGTTTCCATGGGTATGCAATGGAAGGGAATTTCTCTATCAAGTCTGATATCTTCAGCTTTGGAGTCTTGATATTGGAAATCGTCAGTGGAAGAAGAAATTGATGAGTTTGAGCCAAAACAACATCCTATGTGCTCATGCAAACCCTAAAGCTTGGATCTAGGTTTCTCTATTGTACATGCAATTCATCCAAGACTTAAGAACCCTAGATCTAGCATAGATATTTCGAAAATAACATATGAAAATAGATCTAGATGATTACCTCTTCAACAATGGCTTGAATCTTCTTGTATTAGAGCTTATAGTCACAAATTTCACTTCTCTAATGGATTACAAACACCACACAAGCAAGAGGATGATATTGGAGAGAGGGGAGAGGCATAATTTCGGCTATGGAACTCTCTAGGGTTTCAAGTCGCCGAAAACTGATGCCCTAGGGGTTCTATTTATACTTGTGCTGGTATGGCTTCAGTCAAAACCCTAATGGACAACTTAGGCCTTAAGCAATCCAAGGAACCTTCTGGAATAGGGCCCTTATGGCCGAAATTAATATGGACACATCCTTAATTTCGTCCATGCCTAGTCCATAAGGTTTCTCAGCCCAATATCCAACTATCACATTTGACAGTTTAAGTCACCGTTACTTAATTAATATCTTTTAGCCACAGAATTAATTCTTCATTAATTCTTATCTAATATTAATTAAAGACAAAACTATAAAATTGGTCCCCGTGGTTTGCAAAAAACTTTGGATGGGGTCCAAAAACTTTCCAACTTGCATAGAAAGTCTAAAATCAAAACTTTTCTTTGGTTTTGGTCCTAAAAGAGATGAAAGGACTATTCTGCCCTTATTATTCCTTTTTCACATTTTTTTATTTACTTATATATTTTAATAATTAAAAAAAGAAAAAGAAAAAAGAAAACACTCTACCCACACACATCGACGGTACCTTCCTCCTCCCTCTCTCTCTCTCTCGACTTCATCTTCTTCGTCTTCCTTCTTCACCACCGACTACATGTCCTCCATCCTCTCTCCACCATCTTCATAATTAACTTGCATCCTCCTCCCTCTCCATCTGTCACCTACATCATCTTAATCCCCCCTTATGACCTAAAGTTAATATATGTGAATTTGGAGAGATCAGCCATGGCTAACCATCAAGATGAAAATCGGATTAGCCATAGGCGACCGTCTCCATCAAAATCTGTCCAGACTCTTCCTCCTCTCCCTCCATCTGCCACCTATGTCATCCAGTAACTAGCAAAACCAGAAAAGATATTACAGATCGATAATTATAAGTTTAAACCCAAACCTAAATCTCAAAATCTGTTCATTAAAAGATGCGGACTCCTTTCCTTTGGAGAAAAGCGAACGATCGTCGGAGAAGACAGAACGATGGATAAGGGAAGAAGGGAAATGGTTGTTAGAGGTAATTGGGATGCACTTTGATCGAGATCCTCACCGGAAAGCAAGCGTGGAAAGACAGGGGGAGTAGAAACCCTCTGTCAAATCGGGTATTATGAAGAATCTATGGAAAGGAAGAGGGGAATGAAGGGTTTTTTCGATGGGAATGAGGGAGGTATGAAGTGCCGATGAGGGTGGGGTGAGGCGCCGGAGAAGATGAAGTTGAGGTGGGTGGTTTCGTTTGGGATGAGAGAGAGAGGGAGAGAGAGAAGTGATTCTAATTTTTTCTTTTTTATAATTATCAAAGGGGGTGAGATTTTATTATTTATTTTGTTTTTATTATTTAAATACTTAAACAAATAAAAAAAGACAAAACTACATTAATATTTATAAAATAAAAATATAAAAAATACAAAAGAGAAATTTAAAGGGCAAAAAAGTCAATTCAAGTGCTCCATGGACCAAAAATACGAATTTTTCTTAAGTTTAGGACCAAAAACCTAGAAAAACCTTCATTTTGGACCTTCTTTGCAAGCTGGAAACTTTTTGGACCCCATCCAAAGATTTTTGCAAACCATAAGGACCAAATTTGCAGTTTTATCTTAATTAAACTATATGATTTCTCCTTTAATATATTATTCATATAATATATTAATAAACCATAATAACCTCTCTCTTCATAAATCACCATGTCAAGTTGCTCTGGTGAAGGCAACCCAAAAGGACCACGCACAACCGGGTCAAATACTTACCAAATATAGTTACGGGCTTAGACACTAATCCAACAGTCTCCCACTTGGATAAGTCTAATAACTATAGTGTAGGTGCAATTCGATTAGCAATCGTAGCTCTCAAAGACGCTGTCGAACTCTGATCTTTATCAGTAACCTGTACTTTAGATAAGGGATCGTATAGTCCTCCATTCTATACATCGTGTGGACAATTACATGGAACATAGTCATACTTATTGTCCAGCAGTTTATTTCTCGATCTCTGATTCTTCTGACATAGAACTTAATTGAACACGTCAATTCAGTCCTGACCGGGCCCAACACATAAGTCAAACCAAATCATCGAGGGGCCCAGATATCGCTTTTACCCTCTTAGGATAAAAGGAACAGATAAACTTCGACTTATATGCATTTACCATTCACTCATCAATTTATGCACGACAATGTGTTTTATAACATCAAGTTATTGATGCGTTTATGCATTATCAATGCACAACCAACTTGCAAATAATAAACGATATATCTAGGTTTTAAGACCATATGATATTATCGTCTTGCGATCACTCGAGATAAATTCCATGAAGTGATTCCAGCAAGCGCGGGTCTAATCCAATGCTCAAATCTAGTTCATAAGCACTCATGAACGTTGCAACAAACTTTTGCTATGTATAATACACTTTAGACAATATACAAACCAATTCATGACAATATTCTTTCATACTTACTCCCAAAGTATGAGTGACTGTCGAACTTTCGAATAATCTTATTATTCAGGAAGTCAAAACATGCAAAATGAAACAATAGGTAAATAATCAACATAAGACAGTAACATTACTTATAAATAATACTCTTTTATTTAATCATCAAATATCAAATACATTTATCTATTACACGTTTCGAAACTATCTAATCTAAACTAATATCGTCCTTCAGCCCGATGCTCCTAGCGTGTTGCAAGTGCTTAACCCTACTCAGTCCCTTCGTAAGGGGATCTGCTGGGTTATCTTCCGATGATACCCTCTTCACTACGAGGAGTCCTTCTTCTACCCGATGTCTAATGAAATGGTATTTCCTGTCGATATGCCTGGATCTGCCATGATCCATCGGTTCCTTGGTCAAGGAAACCGCTCCTTCATTATCACAAAAAATTTCCATTGGCTCCTTTATGGCTGGCACAACTCCAAGGTCTCCGTTGAAGTTCTTCAACCATATTGCCCCCTTTGACGCTTCGCTCGCTGCAATGTACTCTGATTTGCACGTTGAATCAGCTACGGTCTCCTGCTTGGAACTTTTCCAAGTTACTGCTCCTCCATTCAGGGTAAAGACCCAGCCCGACTGCGAAAGGTAGTTGTCCCTGTCGGTCTGAAAACTGGCGTCACTATACAATCGCACCCTTAATTCATCACTCCCACCAAGGACTAGAAACCATTCCTTGGTCCTCCAAAGGTACTTAAGAATATTATTGATTGCGGTCCAATGTGCTTTGATAGGGTTCCCTTGATATCTGCTGACCATGCTCAAAGCGAAGGCCACATCAGAGCGAGTACAAGTCATAGCATACATTATTGAGCCAACTGCGGAAGCATAAGGTACTCGGCTCATCTCTGCTATCTCGACTTCAGTACTCGGGCTTTGAGTCTTACTCAATTTGGCATTACTTTGGATTGGTAACTCCCCCTTCTTAGAATTCTCCATACTAAAACGTTTTAGCACCTTGTCCAAGTAAGTGTTCTGACTAAGTCCTATTAGTCTCTTACTTCTGTTTCTCACTATCCTTATTCCCAAAATATAGGCAGCCTCTCCGAGGTCCTTCATAGTGAAGCACTTCCCAAGCCAGGACTTGACTTCCTGTAGGGTTGGGATGTCGTTTCCTATGAGTAGTATGTCATCGACATACAATACGAGGAAGCTCACTATACTCCCACTGGCTTTGACATATACACATGATTCATCCTCGCTTCGTAGAAACCCAAACTCTTTGACTTTCTCATCGAAACAAAGATTCCATCTGCGAGATGCTTGTTTCAGTCCATAAGAAGACTTGTCAAGATTACACACTCTATTGGGGTGCTTCGCATCGACAAAACCCTCTGGCTTACTCATGTAAACATCCTCAGCCAACTTCCCATTAAGGAAAGCGGTTTTGACGTCCATCTGCCATATTTCATAGTCATGAAATGCAACAATGGCTAGCATCACCCTAATACATTTTATCTTCGCAGCCGGTGAGAAGGTCTCATCATAGTCAACTCTGGGAGTTTGAGTGAAACCCTTCACAACCAATCGCGCCTTATGCGTGTGTACATTTCCATCCATGTCGGTCTTCTTCTTGAAGATCCATTTGCACCCGACCGTCTTACGACCTGGAACATTGTCAACCAAATTCCAAACTTTGTTGTCATACATGGACTGAGTCTCGCTGTCCATAGCCTCTTTCCATTTCGCAGACTCCGGGCCTGCCATGGCTTCCTTGTAGCTGTTAGGTTCGTCCAAATTCACTAGTATACTATCACTAATGAACGTATCCCCTTCTGTAGTAATATGAAAACCATAAAACTTGGGTTGAACCCTTAACTCTTTCGGAACGTCTAAGAGGTAAGGACTCGTCAATCGGTTCAACCGGA